ATGGCGACAAAGATGAGGACAATAGTCTGAATAATGTAAATAGTGTACATAATACCTCATCTCAGAAATATAGATAGATCTCGAAAGTGGTTTAACAGAGAACGGAAAATGTGAAAATTGAAATTCAAAAGTGCACAGGGATAGTGAAAGATGCTTTCCAAATGTTAAGTGAAGTATTAAGAAACAGGAAAATTTTGTTAGAAACAAAGAAAAGAGTGTTGGACTGTTATGTAATATTGGTCCTCTTATATGGCAATGAATACTGGATAATCTCTTCTCAGATGAAGAAGAGATTTGAAGCAGCAAAAATGTTCTACATTTCCATTCTACAGAAGGATGCTGAGAATACCATGAGTCAAAAGGGAGTTTTATGGAAAACGAAAGCAAAAAGGATGCTTATACTTAAAATCAGAAAAAAAGATTTGAAATTTCTAGAGACACATAATGAAGGAAGAGGGCTTGGAGAATTTGACACTCACAGGACATCGAAGGCAAGCGGACAAAGGAAACATCAAGTAACCTACCTAAGAAGCCTGTGTAAATGTTTGGCAGAACAAGGATTAGGAGAGATAGCAAAAAAGACAAAACTTACTAAGAACTATAAAGGACACAGGAAATTGTGAAGAGCCATGATTGGTTTCAGGATACCTTTTCAATACTTAGTTTGAGAAGGACTATTTTACTCTATCTGGTGGACTGGAATTTTTTTCTCAATGTGTCACATACCTGTAATATTTCATGGTAATATTAATTTATACCAGAAAAATATATATATATATATATATATATATATATATATATATATATATATATATATATATATATATACACTGCGTACAAATGATTATCGAGATAACTTTTTTCTAATATTTCAAAAAACTGTCCAATCAACTCACATAACATTTTCACACAATGTTGGCAACACTGAGCTCTTGTAATCACTGAAATTTTCGACCTGATCTGCAATAATGTAAACAAACTGGCGCTTATATTTGCTATCAGCACGGTGATTTGAGCGTGCCAAATTATTAAAAAAGTGTAAGAATTTAGTAAAAAGATGGGCCATAAAAAGCAGTTTAAGTAATGCTAAAAAGAAAACTATCACCTCAGAACTCTGAAAAGGTAAATCTACCCTAGAAATTTCTAAAATGATAGGGAGGTGTCATCAAACGGAAAAGTTCACCGCCGACCCTACACAAGTACGCAAAAGGGCAAGCCAAGGGTTATTTCACGTCGTCTCATGTCACGACTTAAACGAGGGGCCACAAAGAACCCTGGACTTACCAGCCAAGAGCTTTTCAGTCGCATTGGGGATCCTACTGTGTCTAAAAGTACTCGGTGTCTGTATCTGAGGGAAATATCAACAACAGTCAAACCTGTATTGAAGCCTCCGTTGACGAGAAATCACATTCAAAATTGATTGAAATGGGTCGATGACAATATGAAGATTGACTTGTCTAAAGTTTTGTTCACAGACGAAACTCGAGCAACACTTGATGGGCCAGATAGATGGTGAAAAGGCTGGGTAATGAACAGACAGAATCGCTATCAGCATTTGAGATGCCAACAAGGCGGTGGAGGCATAATGATCTGGGATGGTATTATTGGAAAAGCATTAGTGGGCCCATGAAGAGTACCAGATGGCATCAAAATGACTACTGATGCATACATAGCGTTTATGAAGGAGCATCTTGAACCATGGATGAAAAGGCAAAGAGTTGCCTTCAGAAGGGCCATTGTTTTTATGCAAGATAATGCTCCCTCACATGCTGCTCACAAGACTACTGAATATTTGAAACAGTTAGGCTTCGATGTACCTCGAAAAATGAAGTGGCCAGCAAATTCTCTGGATTTGAACCCAATCGAAAACCTTTGGAGCATCATGAAGCAAAGACTGTACGCCAACGGACGACAATTCAGGAGCAACGCTGAGTTGTGGGAAGCAATTCTTGACATATCTCGTGGCGTTACAGCAGATGACATCTTACAATTAACAAATTCTATGGATCGTCGACTTCTTCAAGTAATTTCAAAACAGGGAAAGCACATTCTCTATTAATTTGTTTAAAACTGTGCCTTTGTTTGTATCTGTTATTATTTGTTTGATTATCTTATTTATTACCTTTTTTTGATCATAAACATTCATGTGCAACATTAATAAACGTTTTGTTTGATCAATTCTGGGATTTTTACTAAACCTTTCTAATAATTTGGCACACTCAAATCACCGTGCTGATAACAAATATGGCGCCAGTTTGTTTACATTGCTCAGATCAGGTCGAAAATGTCAGTGATTGCGCAGGTCACTGTTGCCAACATTGTGTGAAAATTTTGTGTGAATTGATTGGACGGTTTTTGAAATATTATAAAAAGTTATTTCGATAATAATTTTCGCAGAGTGTGTGTGTATATATATATATATATATAATGAATATAATAAGTTGACTATTTTTTATCTTCCATTTATTTTGCAAAAAGTAATTCAATATCAAAACACATAAAAAGTAATAAAAAAATAAGCAGTTTATTAGCACAAAAACAAAAATTATATAACCTTAATCTTTACAAATGATTCTTTAGTATGGCCTGGACACTGGTCGTGTACTGGTAGCTGATGGTTCACATACCAGCACTAGTCAGTGGACCACCATTTTGAGTAGCCCTGGAGTAAAATACTTAATTTTTATTTTCTTTCTGTGTAGATTAATTAGTTAATATAATATGCTTATTAGTATATAAATTTATAAGTATTAAGTAATTAATTATACTTAATTGTTAAGTATTATTATTAATAATCGTATACATATTATATTATTAATAATTATTACAATTAAGCATTATTATTACTATCATATTAGGTAAATACTTAATAAACTTAATATAGTAACTTAATATCAGATTAGGCAAATTTTGTATCAATTTTATCCCTTTAAAATGAGTTTAGATCAGACATGATGACAATTCAATGAAGGGTGTGCCAGTAATAAAAACCCCAAGATAACTTTGTTCTGTCGTTGAAAGTGGAACTTTAACAGTCTGAAAATGCCAGCAATTATTTGGCCAGTTTTAACTGGGAAATTTTTCTATCCTACGATTCCCCCTTGATCTGGAAGGCAGATTTCTGTCAATATTGCCAATCATCGTTGAGGAAAATCCATAGTGAACTGTACGAGAATTAGAAAAGCAGTTGAATGCAAGTCATATTTTGATTGTCAATCATACACCGCAATCAGAAATGTGTCTAAACACGGTCGTCAGATCCCTCATCATCCAACTGCTTCTCAGCTTAAACAGAGTTGCCCCCCTTCTCACCATTGAAGAGCAGACTTGTTACTGAACCTTTCTTGAGTAGAACCAGTGATGAAATGTAGTTTCTTTCTTTTTATGTGCCATGTCCTTTCAGGATGTAGGTGATCATAGCTCTCCACCTCCTTCTATCCCTTGCAGCTCTTAACAAGTTCCTCCCCTCTGCTTCAAACCCCAGACCACATTCTGTCATCCACTTGCTTAAGCCCGCCAGGTATGTCACGTGTTGTTTTCGCTTGTCTCTCTTTCCCTTTATTCAACCTGTGTGTATCAGATTCTCCAGGCCCTCCTTCCTCATTATGTGTCCTTTTTCCTTTTTATGTGCCATGTCATTTTAGGATGTAGGTGATCATAGTTCTCCACCTCCCTCTATCCCTTGCAGCTCTCAACAAGGTCCTTCCCTCTGCTACCTCCCCCAGACCACATTCTGTCATCCACTTGCTTAAAGGTTTGTCACGTGTTGTTTTCTCTTGTCTCTCTTTCCCCTACTGACCTGTGAGTATCAGATTCTCCAGCATTCCTTCCTCATTACCATGTCCTTTCAGGATGTAGGTGATCATGGCTCTCCATCTTCTATCCCTTGCAGCTCTCAACAAGTTCCTCCCTCTGCTTCCTCCCCAGACAACATTCTGTCATCCACTTGCTTCTTTCGCCAGGTATGTCACGTGTTGTTTTCCTTGTCTCTCTTTCCCCTCTATTGGTGACCTGTGAGTATCAGATTCTCTAGGCCCTCCTTCCTCATTATGCGTCCTTTTTCCTTGCCATGTCCTTTCAGGATGTGAAGATCATGGCCTCCTCCCTCTATCCCTTGCAGCTCTTAACAAGTTCCTCCCCCTGCCTCCCCCAGACCACATTCTGTCATCCACTTGCTTAAGCTCACCAGGTATGTCATGCGTTGTTTTCCCTTGTCTCTTTTTCCCTCAACAATCAGATTCTTCCTTCCTCATTCTGCCCTTTTTTCCTGCCATGTCCCCAGACCATCATATTCTGTCATCCCCTATCCTTTTGCTCTCAACAACCCTTCCCTCTGCTTCCTCCCCCAGACCACATTCTGTCATCCACTTGCTTAAGCCCATTGGGTATGTCGTGTTGTTTTCCCTTATCTCTCTTACCCTCTATTCGACCCGTGAGTATCAGATTCTCCAGACCATCCTTCCTCATTATGTGTCCTTTTTCCTTTTTATGTGCCATGTCATTTTAGGATGTAGGTGATCATGGCTCTCCACCTCCCTCTATCCCTTGCAGCTCTCAACAACTTCCTTCCCTCTTCTTCCTCCCCCAGACCATGTTCTGTCATCCACATGCTTAAGGCTGCCAGGTATGTCATACATTGTTTTCCCTTGTCTCTCTTTCCCTCTATTTGACCTGTCAGTATCAGATTCTCCATTCCTTCCTTTCTCATTATGTGTCCCAGGAACTTCAGCTGCCTCTTCCTTGTTTTCATCCTCTCTTAGGTTCTCTATAATCCTATGCAGATGATACTATTGTGTATGGATGCACCTCCAAACATTTTGATGACCAGTGCTTGGCAGGTGATCTTTCCTCTAACCATAACTTTGACAGCACAATGGGAGAAAGACCGACTGGTATCACTCAACACATCCAAAACTAAACAAAATCAACCAACCAAAATTTTGAATCAAAGTTTATTAGTTAGGTTATGGCTTTTTATTCAGTCTTTTTGGTCATAATATAGTGTAGGTAGTGTAGTAGGAATTTGTTTTCATGCTTGCTTTTGGAAACAAACTCTGATCTATTGTTTAGTTCATATTGTTCTGAAAAGGTGATTAATGTTATTCTGTTTTACTTGCATACACTCATTCCCCCCATGCACACACAAACACATGCTTGTGTGTGTAGGGGAGGGTGTCTAACAAAAAATATAATTTAAATGTATTCTTACCTAATTTTATTTTGATTTTTGCCAGGTGTTGACGTCTACTTTTCACCCAATGACAAAACATTTGTAGTCGACCTGAATCGTGAAACCTGGTTCCATGAGGTTAAGCTTGATAAGAACTTCAAGGCCCATGGTAATCATGGTCAATATACACAATACCAGTTCAACAATGTCTATTACTACCTTCGGAAAGAAGTCGCAAGCGATACCAACAAATTCATCACTTTAGAACAGGTAAACACCACACTGAACGTGTCTGACGTGCGCTTTCGTTTGGTCATCACCCTCCCCCTTGACGTACACAATCTAGAGAAGTCCCAGTTTTATATGATCATCTACGGTCGAGGTGATGCCTACAGTAACCAGACGTACGGGAAGCTGTTCTTTCGACAGGACCAGCCTCATATCGATCTGTTTGTATTTTTCAGTGTCTTTTTTTCCTGCTTCTTTCTTTTCCTTGCCTTTTGCGTTCTCATCTGGAAAATAAAACAAACCGTAGACACACAACGCAGCCGACAGCAGCGTGCTAGGGAAATGCAACATATGGCGTCCAGACCCTTTGCTGGGGTACTCGTTCTTGTAGATCATGAAGCAGCCATGTCTAACCCCACCCCTCGAAAGATTCGGGTTAACAAACCAACGGCACGAAGCCCACAATTACCTGAAGTAAATATGATCCACCCATATGTGCGGGACGAACATTTCAGCATCCTGCCAATTGCAATAGAACCGACTGAAAATGGTATTGCTTCTGTAGCAACAGTGGTATTTCAACTGCCTGGTGGGGGTAGCACTACGTCCAAACTCTGTCTCGGGTCGGCCCTTACCTTGCGTCAGGGGTGTGGGGCACCGAGGATGGCCATGCGCCGCCGTCCAAGTTCCTCTATGGCTTGAGTCCAGATTGTGCATGTTGACCCGTGAAGGATGTGCGGGTATTGGGCGATATTTTATTTTTGATTTTTGTTTTTTTTTTTTTTTTTTTTTTTTTGTTCTGTGATCAGACTTCCTACAGCAGGACTGGGGGACAAAAAAAATGAAAAAAAAAAAAAAAAATGAATGAATGAAAGAAAAAAAAAAAAAAAAACAAATTTAAATGAAAATGTGAATTTAAAAAAAATGGCTGGAAAGAATGAAAAAAAAAAAATGATAAATATATATATATATATATATAAAAAAAAATTGTCTTCAAAAAGAATTTATGCTCCCCCATCCACCCCTGAAAAAAAAAAAAAAAACACAAAGAAAAAAAAAAAAGTGGATGAAAAGAAATTAAGAGAACAAAATAAAAATTAAAAAAAAAAAATAAATAAATAAAAAGAAAGAAAACACTGAATGTGGGTGGGGGGGGTGTTTTCATAATTTTATTTTAATTTTTTTATTTTATTTTATTTTTTTCTGTTTTTTGCTGTGAGGAATCTTTTGCTTTGGGAAGTGGGAAGAGGAGGAGCAGAAAGTTTTTTTTTTTTTTTTTTTTATTATTCCTGAAAATGTCAAAAACAGTCAATTAGAGAATTTTAGAGAATTTACTTTTATCATATCTTTTTCAAATTATTCATAATATTTGCTGACTTTTCTCCCCCCTCCCCCAACCATCCTAATTTTCTTTTTTTACACTATCCCTAATTTTAATTTTTTCTTTCCATCTCCCAGTCTTCTCAGACAGTTCATTCTCTGGCTGTCTTTGGGTATTTGGCTTCGATTCGCTCATTGGCGTCAATGTTTGGGCAAATTTTCATTTGTAAATGGTTGGAGAGTAAATAGACAAATTTATTTATTATTTTCTTTTTTTTATATATAGATATGGGATAAAATCCACAAAGTAAAAAAAACCTAATGGAGATGGGATGAAAAGAATGTAAATTAATGAAGCCAGAGACAAAATATCCTTTCCAGTGATCCAAGCAAAAGTAAAAAACCTGTCTATGTTATTGGCTTTGATTTCTGGAAGGAAAATTAGGGAAGGCATTGGAATTCTGGTGCCTGATGAGGACAGTAGGTAACAAGTGTGTCTTGACACAGCAATTGCAAAGGAAAGTTTCATTTGACAAGTAAAATGAGGATATATGGGTTGATTTTTTATATATATATATATATATATATATATATATATATATATATATATATATATATATAGATAGATAGTGCATTGGGGCTGCAGTTGATTATTCAAACTTGTGTTGTTAAATATAACAGACAACAAATGTCTATTATGTTTGATCATGAGCCATTCTATGCTTCATATAATGGCTTTCGTTTCGGGAGAAAATAAAGACAAACTTTGTCCAACATTATTATGCTGTTCCTCGATCTAAGCTTTCGGCTCATATGAGCCATCATCAGATTGGCAATATGGACATTACAACAGAGATGTTCACCATCAAAGATGATATTCTGTTATGTATACATATAAGGTTGCTATAAAAAATAATATCCAAAATACACGGATTAGAATGACTCATGATCAAACATAACAGATATTCATTGTCTGTCATATTTAACAATATGTGTGTATGTATATATATATATATATATATATATATATATATATATAGTGAGAGAGAGAAAGGGGATGTATGTATGTGTGTGTGTGTGTGTGTGTGTGTGTATATATATATATATATATAGAGAGAGATAGATGGGATGGTGTGTGTGTATATATATATATATATATATATATATATATATATATATAGAGAGAGAGAGAGATAGAGGGATGTGTGTGTGTATGTATATATATATATATAGAGAGAGAGATAGAAATCTGTGTGTGTGTATATTTTATATGTATATAATTGAAAATTATAACAGATATGTTATAAAATCACTACAAAAATAGCCATTTTGTTTCAACACCTCTGGTGTCTTATCAAGTGATGGTGTTGAATGTAGAATATATATATATATATATATATATATATGGTTGTGTGTGTTTTATTACTGGAAATGTTATAATGAATAGATGCCCCATTTTTATGCAGCCAGCCTATAGATGATAATTTTTTTAAATATCAGTATCTATTATAACTTTTTAAAAATTCAGATATAACTAAAAATCTATCTATCTATCTATCTATAAAGAGACAATATGAATAAAGACAAAAGGAGAACTTTAGTGACATGTTTTGTCCTCTGCTGGACTTTATTTAGGCAAATGTAAAGAAATTATTTTGCAACTTGTGTTTATAAACAGAAGTAAAGTGGAGGAAAAATATTAAGTTTACAAAATTTTAAATTTAAGAATGCTCTAAGAATATTCTTAAGGTTTATGTAAGTAAAGGTAAACTAAATGATGCAATTTAATACCTAATAAATGAAAGTAAGTAAATGCCGTTGGAGTTGAAATTATAATTACTAGCTGTTGTAGCATACCTATACATGATAATAGGTATGTTCCCATTCACATAAAAACAGTAGTAAATACTGTATGTTGGTCTGCAGTTGGAGATTCATCTCCAACTGTGCTGGTCAAACTCTCTGCCCAAAGGCAGAGAGGATCCCCAGACGAGGCTATGTCGAAGGGCAGTGTCTCATCTTAGAAAACATTTACCTGACCCCGTTTTATATGGTGTTTATGAAGAATTTTTGGCCAAGCCTACTGGCCACATCTGACCGTGTGGGGCGGTTGGTAGATATCCTGCAGTTGGAGATTCATTGTGGAATTCACTTGACTCACTTCTAGCAGTTGACTACTACTTCTGAGCACTGCTGGTGAATCTTATATGTGTTGTTCTTGTCCTAAGTATTATCATTCATTACCAACCTCCATGTGATTATTCCATTCAGTAACTTCTCCCTAGGTTACAACACTAGGCAAATACACATCTTACAAATATTTCTCTTGATAGCAATTTTAAAATAATTCATCAGACATTTATTTATGGTAACTGGATTTTTCATGATTACCTTACTAGGTTTTCATTGTTTAATAATGTGCATCTGAAAAATAAAATGGTGTAGTTATTACGGTCACCTTTACTTCTCAGCCTTTTGGCTAAGATGAAAGTGTAGTAACTGTTCTCATAAGCTTAATCTGATTCTCTCTCTCTCTCAATTTCTATCTTCCCTTCTTTCATTCATTTTTCACTGAAACCATGCAATCAAAAACAGAATAGTCTATTAGTTATGAGGTATTGGCAGGGAGTAGCGGTTGTGCAAACTAACGGAGGAAGGTACAAACATAATAGGATATTAAAAGAAATAAATATATATAAACAAATAGAAATTCAACATTTATTCACTTTTGTTTAATAGGGCAAACAGCTGGAATTCAATCTCATTTTCTGCACCAATAACCACTATGCTATATATATATATATATATATATATATATATATATATATATATATATATGTGTAATGTGCAACCTTGAACAGTGTAATGAGTTAGCAAGCCTTGTGCCACATCCCTTGAAAAGAACTATATATATATATATATATACTATATATATGCACCTCAGGACAGTAGTGAGTTCGATCCTCACTAGGAGCCCCCTAATTTCAGCCTTGTGCCACATCTAAGCTATGCTTGGAAAATCACTATATATATATATATATATATATATATATATATATATATATATATATATGCACCTCGGGACAGTGTAATGGTTAGCAAGCTTGGCTCCCTAGAACAATTACGACTAAGTAGTGAGTTCGATCCTCACTGGGTCCCCCCTAATTTCAGCCTTGTGCCACATCTAAGCTATGCTTGGAAAATCACTATATATATATATATATATATATATATATATATATATATGCACCTCGGGACAGTGTAATGGTTAGCAAGCTTGGCTCCTAGAACAATTATGACTAAGTAGTGAGTTCGATCCTCACTGGGTCCCCCCTAATTTCAGCCTTGTGCCACATGGAAAAAGCTATATATTGGAAAAATCACTATATATATATATATATATATATATATATATACAACATGACCTTCAGTTCAGTGAGACACTGTTACATCATTTAAATTTTGATATGTAATCATCATAATATAATGTGATGATATGTAATCATTATAATCATGAAGCAGTTCTTCATATTATTTATGGGGATTGTTTTGTGTGTGTGTATAATTATATATATATATATAATATGTTGGGGGTGTGCAAAAGTTCCCACTTGCCACAATCTTAACAAAGTTGAATATTGTTCTTTTCAATGCAATTATGTAATGTTTCCATTACAATATCCATTGGAATAACAACTTTATTTTTCCTGATGTGGGGGAAATGCTTGACCTGAGTGTTGTTATACCATAATTCTCTATGTATAATATGCCTTCAGCCATAATATACAGACCTAAAATTGTGCAAAAATGTTTCTTATGCATAATATGCACCCCTTGTTTGGTAATCAAACCCTATAAATTGTACCTCTCCAATTTTATTATGGCCAGTGTTTCCTACTCTTATTTAAAAAAAAAAGAATTGTTTTAAACATAGAATATTATTATTCTAATTTAGTTTTATGATAATTCTTATTTTATTTTATGGCAATTTTTTAAAGATTTTTTGTAGTTGTGTATAATATGTGCCCTTGATTTTGCTTATTTTTTTTTTAGAAAAACATGGGTATTATACATGGGGAATTATGGTATTTATTATTTCACATTTGGTAAATTATTTTTACCATTTAGTCTTAGATTTGTAATTGTCTTCCATTGTCTTTTTTTCTTTATGGCACAAGCAGTTTTTTTTATTCTGGCAGGAAGACCAGTCCTGAAATGTTTTTTGCTGTGCAATGTTTGAGAAATGGTCAATGTGTATCTGCTCCAAGAGAAGTTGCTAAATTATTAGTTTTTATTTTTTATTTTTTTTTAAATTCCCTGTAAAGGAATATTTATTTGTTATTTCTATACCAGTTAAAATAGTTATCTTAATACTTTCTTGA